TATCTTTCTGTGATGATTCTTTGTCATGGGAATATCCTGAAAATTGCAGGGTGTTTAGCCTTTTCCCTGGCCTCCCAACTAGAAGTCACTAGCAGAACCCCCCACCCCCGCCCCTTGGTAGATAACAATATCCTGCCAACAATGCACATGCCTAAATTCCTGGAACTTCTTAGTACATCATAGAAAGGAGGAATTAAAGTTTCAAATGCAATTAAAGTTTGCTGATCAGATGTCCTTAAAATAGTGAGATTACCCTGGATTACCCGGATGATCCCAATGTAAGCATAAGTGTCTTGAAGAAAGTCAGATGGAGAAATGACTAGAGAAGAAGGATCAGAAAAGATAACAACATAGCTAGCTTTGAAGATAAAGGGAAATGTGCTTCTGGGAAAGGGAAGGCTGCAAATCTTAGCAACCTTTGGAAGGAACACAGCTCCACTGTCATCTAAAATGTAGCCTAGTGAGACTCACTGCAACTGCTGATCTCCAGAAAGAGAATAGATTTGGGTTGCTTTAAGCCACTAGGTTTGTGATCAGAAACTAATACAGCAGCACTACTAGCTGTAATATCCCAAAACATCTTCAAGATTTTCCAAATATCTCTTGAGGACAAACCCACTGTCAGGTTAAGAGTCCCTGGTTCTACAGAACAGAGTTCAAATTCCTCAGAATCCCATATTAGGGCTTTCCCTGATAAACACTACCCTGCCTGCTGAACAAAATCACCCAAGAGATAGTCAGATACCATCCCACATAACTTCTCGCTTCACAAATAGGCTACATCATCTCACCTCTCTACAGATGAGAAGAGACTCCTGGAGGATAGAGAGTGTGCTTTGACCCTCCTGTCATCTTTATCTATGCTTATAGGTATTCCTCCACAATGTGCCTGACTTCTGTTTTCAACACATCTCTATGTCAAAAGCCTTGTAGTTGTTATATATATATATTAGGTCAAAGGTATCCTAACTGCCTCATCTCAAACATATTATTTCACTTAACCCCTTGTCATTTTTCTTTGCTGAAACTCTAGGTTACCAATGCCTCTGTGCCAATGCACACCCACTTTTTTCTTTCTCAGTGAGAAATAACCCCCCAAGGGCTGAGGAGATGGCTTAACATGCAAGTGTGAGGACCTGAGTTTGAATCCCCAGAACCCACATAAGTCTGGTCACAGTACCATACATCTGTAGTCACAGTACTCATGCTTTAAGATAGGAGATAGAGACCGGAGAATCCAAAGCTTGCTCTCAGGCCAGCCTGACTGGCTTTTGGTACTTCAAACAACAAAGAGACCCTGTTTTAAACAAGGTGGAAGGTGAAAACCAACATCTGAGGTTGTCGTCTGGCCTACACACACACACACACACACACACACACACACACACACACACACACACACACCTCAAACAAACACACAAATATGCACAAGAAATGACCTGCCATCTCCTTGTGAGTGATTTTTAAGTCATAATTCAAGATCAAATTCAACTGTTCTCAAAACAGCAAAAACCTCTAAACCCTGCTGAAAAGACTTGCTCAACTCTGGTCTCTCATAGTGCTGATCTTTTTATACCATGCTCTCATTAAGAACTGACTCCACATTGGGTCTTCTCTGCACTCATGGTACCTAGAGAAATAAATGCCTTAGATGGGAATGAAGAAAAAAAATAGAAGCGACAGATCCAGAAATTAATGTGATTGTGAGGTACTCAGGCTGGCAAATGACCAGTAGTATAAAGGCATAATTCCAGGTCTGGTTCCCAAAAATCAAGAAGATTTCAGTTTTGAAAGAACAGGTAGTATTCCATTATCAGAGTCAGGGGCAGAGCTTGGCTGCTAATGAACACAAGTTGGTAAACATGTACTGATAGCATCATCATACTGTGTGTCCATGAATCTGACTTGGGAAAAGCAATCCTGAAACACATAGTAAGAGAATTTTAACAGAGTCATTCTTGATTTTGTCTAATACCTCCCTCCCAAGTTTAGGCCATAAAATAGCCATTCCTGAGCATCAAGTGAGCCCAAGTAATAGAACTGTGAGCATTTATGAGAATCTTGAGGGTGGAAAATGTGTGACCAATTTTGTTTAAAATCACAGAGTCTGCTCAGAGAACTAAATGCAGATGGATGTGATCCATCACTGATTAAACCTGAAAATTAATTCCCAGATATTCATATGGACTTATGGGAAGAGATAGAAAAAATATGAAGAAATTTTAAGAGGTATGTGGCGTCTGAAAGAATGGCTCCAGAGGGATCTTCATGGGTTAAAAATCAGAGGAAAACAACAGCAACACATTAGTCCAGCTCACAATCCTTCTGTAGGCACTTGCTAGATGCCCAGTCTGGGATGCTACACTCCACATCACAAATGTGATGGTTCTCAGCTAGGGTGGGTCTATCCCTAAAAAGTATTTGGCAGTATCAACAGTTTTGTTGTGCTACTAGGATGAAGGGATGCTGTGCTGGCTAGTTTTATGTCAACTTGACACACGCTAGAGTTATCTGAAAAGAGAGAACCTCAATTGAGAAAATGCTTCCATAAGATCTGGCTGTAGAACATTTTCTTAACTAGTGACCCAGCTCATTGTGGGTGGTTCCATCCTTGGGCTGGTAGTCCTGGGTTCTATAAGAAAGCAGGCCGAGCAAGCCAGGAGGGGCAAGCCAGTAAACAACACTCCTCCATGGCCTCTGCATCAGCTCCTGCCTCCAGGTTCCTGCTCTGTTGGAGTTTTTGTCCTGACTTCTCAGTGATGGAAGTATGAGCTGAAATAAACCCTCTCCTCCCTAACTTGCTTTTTGGTCATGGCGTTTCATCACAGCTGAATAGTACCCCAAACTAAGACAGGGGCTCCACGGGCACCTAGTGGGCAGAGGACAGGGCTACTCAACACTGCAACACCCATAGCAGAGAATCATTGGGCCTCAGAGAGCAACAGTGCCAAGACTGGGAAACCCTGAGGCAGAACAACCAGGAAAAGTTCAAGAAAAAAATCTGTGTGAACCCAAGTGCACTTCCAAGGCCTCTGAGTAACCACACAGGGTGCTCACTTGCTGGGTTTTTGTAGCCATTAGTAACAGTTCTCTTGGGACAAAGGACACAGCTTGCTTGCAAGCAAGAAAGACAGGCAGTGTTCAATGGGGTGAATTTTCCTGGGTTTTGAAAGCGTTCCAGGATATTCAACCTTTAAAAGGTAACCCAGACCATTAAATTCCAGTCCTAAGGGTTATTAGGATAGGTTGGCCTCTACTGAAAAAACAAACAAACAAACAAACAAACAAACAAAAACTAGAATTGGACCTACATGCCAGGATTCCACCCAATCACCTCATATATGCCTCAAGCATAAAGGGATTCCCACCCCGGCCCACTTACACACATAAACCTTTTATGAGAAAATTTTGTTCTTTTGCTAGATGGCAATGTACTCAGTTTTAACCACTACAAAAGGGTGAAAGTCACGGTAGATGAGTCTTGTGCAGACTGTCTATACACTCTGAAATGGACAGAGGCCACCCAGTATTGCAGCAGCTGTGGTTACATTCATTGAGTCTGAGATGTTAATGGCTAAGAATGTCAGCAACTATCAAATCTGAACAGTCGGCTTGCTTCTGGTATCTCTCCTCTCCCTCCTTTCTCCTCCTTCCCCTCCCTTCTTTAGATTAGTCTGTTAAGGTGTGTTTCTGAAACTGTGCAGGAATTTTGCTTCTCTCCTTCCCGATACCAAGCCAGTTGCTTTGGGTGTAATGTGGTATCTCTGCCTCAACTTTTCTTCCCACTGACTACATCTCTGATCCAGTTGGCAATGTTTTGGTCATTCTTTCATAATCCGAATACCATGCAGCAGCAGCAGTGGTTACTCTAACTTAGTCCCTAACATTAACACCAGGCGATGCTGTTGTTTATGATCAATAATGCTGATTTTTGTTGAGTGGTCTATTAAAACCGAAATTTAACAGTTATCTCATGCTAACAGAGCTGAGAAGCTATTTTCAAACTGTTTGGCTTGGTTGTGTTTCCTTTATTTAGCCTAAATCTCCAGCAATTACATAGTATTTCATTTCATTTCTGTAATGCTAACTGTGCTTTAAGATATTTAATTACAATTGATGAGATCTCCCTTCCTTTATGGAAACAGATCCCAGGCAAACCTATAGAGTTTGTGGACTAAACCAGGAAGGAGGTGGTCATTTTTCAACCAACTACTATTTATTCTCTAAAAGTATGCTGCTTTCCAAGTCCCCATCAACCACAGTTGCCCAATGGCTCTATTCTCCAGTCAGAACCAGAGAGCCAACATTTGAAGGAAATCAGATAGCTCCCTCTGAGTTCCCTATTTATTATTGATTCCTGATTCATGTCTATTCCAGTAACTACTAATTGTCCTTAGTGGAATTTGGGCGGATTTCCATGATATTTCAGACCCTTAAGCACAGAAAGTATTCAGTACCATAGATTTCTGAAATTACACCTTTGGGGAAAAGAAGAAATCAAAACTAGAGAATTATAGTAGTTATTCTACCTTTCCACCTAAACACACACACACACACACACACACACACACACACACACACACACACACACATTATCTTTCAGAATAGTCTCTGAATTCTGTTATAGATGAATATCAAATTATATTTCATCAGCTCATCGCAAAGAACTTAGCAATGAATCATTCTGAGTTCCTAAAATCATTCAGGTTGGGTGAAGAGATGAGATGACCCTTTGATTGACTGTAGCATCAAAAAGAAATCAGAACACCATCTCTTCCTCCAAATCCTGGGACCACTCCCAAGTGAACCCTGTACTCCTCCGGACACACTCATAAGATGAGCCCCTAGGGTGTTCCCATTCTGGCACCATCTAACCAGATTGAGTCAAGCAGCTAAGGCGGGTGCCTCACGCTGTAGATGGGACGAACTTAAAGACAGCCACCTGGAACTGCCTGGGGCATCCAGCTTTGGGCTGTGAGACACATGGCGCTGGTCCCTACCTCAGACCTCCACACGACATACGGGTGGCTACGACTGTTAGGTGGCTGCTGGAACTTCCTCTGCTGGAGCCATCTCCTAGGAGAAGCGAAGATGCCTTTGGGGCCTCCCCCGGAGGGCCAGAGGATGCTTGCGGAACTGCGGCCACTCGCGGAGCCGGCCAGGACAGAAGGCAGGTCCCAGGCCATGCTCTTCTTGAAACCACTGCGACTCAGTGGGACCTCGTAGTCAAAGTGGAAGCTGCCAGAAGGCGACTTTTCTTGAGGGGTACTGGGTGTGGAGAAAGACGAGCATAAAGGTCTGGGTGTCGGGAACCGGGTAGCCCGAGGGTGCTGACTTCGGGGAGAAGACGCGGAGCGGGAACCGAGACCCTCGGCTAGTTGCTGCGGAGAGTGGAGGCGGCTTACTGTGGAGCCCCGCAGGCCGCCCTCGGTGCCCATCTCGCTCCCGCAGCCACCGATCAGGGCTGGGTCTAGGCTGCGTGTCTGGCGCAGCTTCCTTTTGGAGAATCCCTTGGCCGAGGCCGTGCCGCCCGACGCGGGCGAGGAGCAGGAGAAGACACTGTGCAGCAGGCTCTGCGCTGACATCTCGGAGGGGCTGAGTCCCAGGGCCACCTTTTCTTTTCCCTCCTAGATCGCTGGAGGCTGTGACCTGAGAAAACAAGTGGTTGGAGTAGGCTGGAGGAAAGCTGCCAGGCGGGGCTCGCCAAGGATGGTGGAGGGCAGTGCCCCGTTCACGCGCCACCAGCGCGCTCCAAGTGTCCTTGCGGAGGCAGAAACAGGAGCTCCACCCCCAGCCTTCTAGGAAAAAGAGGTCCGAGTCCCTTTACCGCCTTTAAAACCTTCTCCCAGGAGCCCAAGTCTCAAAGAGGCTAAGGAAGAGGAGGAGGAAGGTCAGTGGTTCGCTGAGATCTTAGCTCCAGCCCGCTAGCGCCACTCCCCCTTCCCAGCTGAAGGCGGGAGACTCTGCGCTCCAGCTCTCTGGCTCTGGACAGCCTCGAAGTCTCCAGCAAGCTCCTCCTCGTGGCCTGAGGACAGTCCTGAGGGTTCGGGAGGAGATTGCCTGAGAGTCCGCCCAGAGCACGTCCCTTGTGCTCCCGGCGCGGTGAAAACTCCTCAGGGGCACCCGAGTTCAGTTGCCAGGTTGCGCCCCCATGCACCTTCTTAGTGACTTGGGGACAGCAGCTGCGCTTTGGGGATCAGCTGGGCTTCTGCTCCCTCCTTTCTTACTGGCGAGGCTCAAAGGTGTCTCCAAGTTCACATTTCCGCGCGGTCCCTGTGTTGCTTCAGTGGTCCACCCTGGCTGTGCCCCGGGCCTTCCAAAGAGCGAAGTGACAACAGTGGCAAAGAACTCCCGGCTGCGCTCAGCGCTACTCTGAAAGCGCTGAGCTCAGAAGACAGCCTCCGAAGCGGGTGTCCCTGTTCCTCTGTAGAGTGACACTTGATATTCGCTGCCAGCCTTGGTTGGGCCCAGAGCTGGCTCAGAGATGTCTCAGCACTCTCACGCCAGAGGCAGCGGGAAAAGGGGTGGCCCGGGACGGATAAGGCAGAAGGAAGGCAGGGTCTGGAGCGGGGCGGAGCCAGGGGCAGGAGAAAGCCGAACGTGAAGTTTTCCAGGCGCCAAACCTGGGAAGTAGCTCAGAAAGCCAGCGGCTGGTCTCTGATACCCGGCCTCTAGGGAGAAAGTTCGGAGGACGGAAGTGCGGACCTTCTCCCCCGACTCCCCTCCCCCAAACCCAGGGGCGCGCGCTGTCTCCACACACGTTTCTGCAAAGGAAGGGGAGTGTCAGATTGCACCCCACCCACTGGTATCAGACCCGCAGCCCCGGACGGTTTTTCTGAATTTAGAGTTAAATCCCCTGCCTTCTCTCCTCCTACCCCCAACCCTGACGCTCTTTTTTTTTTTTTTTTTTTAAAGGAACGCTGACGATGCAATTCAAATGCTTGAGGATTTAGGGACCTACCAAGAAAAGTGGAAGGGAGTGGGAAGTCCTCGCGTGTCAGGTTCCCAAGCACGTGTGTAGATGTGGTCTATTTAGGAGGAGAGGTGAACAGAGTTTGGTCTAGGTATAGATCTACCTTGACTAAAGTTAATTGGCCTCGAGGTCTGCCCCAGAACTCGCCTGAGCACTGGGCTCAGCGGCCAGGTCTTGGGTAACTGAAAAATACAGAAGTTGTAGTCTGTCATCTGGGCTTGCAAATAAACCCGGAGCAGCTTCTCCCACTTTCCCACTTATGGAATCTATAAAATGACAAGCCTTAGCCGCCTCTTGTGGGGCTTTCTGATGTCATATTTAAGTTTTGCTCGGCATCTTACAATCACCTCTGCAGGGACTGCAGGGATTGGTCAGAACGTGGAAATAAGTGATTGATTTCCACTTTTTGTGGTTCTGTGTGTTAAAAAAAAAAAACACGGGGAGGTGAAGAGAACTTACTACAAATAAAAATGAGAGTTTACCGTTTCTTTAAGAAAATAACTAAATTATTAATACGGGTGTTCGACATAAGTATTTATTTGCCTTATGTAAATACCAGCCATTGTCCAATTTTGATTTTAGAAAATCTTATTCTTGTGACATTGGTTGCAGAGGTGGATTGCTTTATTGTGGCTTTTTACAAGGCCGCCTTGACGTTCCTAGGTGTTTTACTATTTAGCAGGAGGCAGGACATGAAATCTAATTAGCAGGAAAATTCAGTGACTACAGGAAGAGCATCGGACATTCTGTCTAGGTTCCTCCTATAGCCTGTACTTGTCTTTGTAAATGCAGGAGATGACACCCCTGGGAGAACTTGAATGGGAATGAGCTGCTGGGTGAAAATGGTTTGGTTTAGTTTTGATTGTTTGGGGCTTTGTTTGTGTGTGTGTTTGTTTTATTGGGGGTTTTGTGTTGTATGGGTGGGTGAGGGGTTATCCTGGCTAGTTTTCTGTCAACTTGACTCAAGCTGGAGTCATCAAAGAGGAGGGAACCTCAATTGAGAGCAACTGAGAAAACGCCTCCATAAGATGGCTTATGGAGCATTTTCTTAATTAGTGACTGATAGGGGGAGTCCAACCCATTGTGTGTGGGGCCACACCTGGGCTGGTAGTCCTGGGTTCTATAAGAAAGCAGGCTGAGCAAGCCATGAGGAGCGAGCCTGTAAGCAGCACCCATTTGTGGCCTCTGAATCAGCTCCTGCCTCCAGGTTCCTGCCCTGTTTGAGTTCCTGTGATGACTTCCTTCAGTTATGGATTATGATATGGAAGTGTAAGCCAAATAAGCACTTTCCTCCACATCTTGCTTTTGGTCATGGTGTTTTATCATAGCAATAGTAACCCTAACTAAGACAGTGGCTATTATTATTCTAACTTTGGTCAGAGTCTCACTATGTAGCTCCAGCTGGTCCAAAATTTGCTCTGAGTTCCAGGCTGGCCTCAAACTTAAGAGACCCTCCTGCCTCTGTCTCCCTCATGCTGGAATTTAAGGCGTGAGCCACCATGACTGGCTACACTAATAGAATGTGAGATTCCACATTCCCATCACTGTCTGCTGTCTCTTTTTGTTTACTTGGCATGTCCCAAGTATTTTCCGTGTTTGTCAGTCAGCTGTTCTGGGAGAGGCCACAACATTTAAAATCACTTGAAGGCCTACTTAACTATACCAAATCATCTTTGGGGGTTGGGAAGGTTAGCTATCTTCCCTCCTCAAAGAATTTGCAGTAGAAGTAAATACAGATGTATCTTGTCTGTCCTTTCTTTGGTAACAATGCCTCATAACTTTTCACTCATGACCAAACACCTCTTTGAATAGTCTCCAGTGTTAGGATACCACTTCATGGTTATGCATCATTACATGGTTATGCCTCATTGAGTCTTGGCATTCGGGGTAGATGTTTAACAGAGTCACACTTTATGGGACCACTTGTGACTCAAGGTGGCTGAGTAAACGTCATTTCTAATTCATTTACATGTTCTATTTATCGAAGCTCCTGCGATGTCCATGAGGTTGAAAATGCAACCCTGCCGGGATTGAGATGGTTAAATGGGAATGTCATACGGATGCAATGGCATTTCTGGTCATGGATGGAGAGCCAGCAGGCAGAATGACTCATCTATCAGCAGTCCTAGGGCTTGGAGCAGATACGTGTCAGTGAATTCATCACCTTGCTTCCAACAGGTCCTGACCCAACATTACCTTGGAAGCTGCTTCACAGCTGGGAACAATGAGTAAATTCTTTTAAAATACATTCTTTTCTGGCATACCAATGGACACGGTTTAAGAAGTATATTGTTAGTGATTTGTCACTGTATGGATATCATAGAATATATACAAACATAGTGCTATAGATCTGTCCCTTGAAGTGGTTTCTTGAGGCAAACAAGAGATGTGACAAATTTGGGACATTTGAGGCTGCTACCAGTGTAACATGCCATGCCGATTTACAGTAAACCTTTTACAGTGAAGTAACAATAAAAGAATAGTATAGTAAATGCATAATCCCCTATAATTTGCAAGTAGGGTATACTAATATACTGAACATAATATTGTGCATTCTACTAGGAATTTGGGGGTTTGTTTTTATTGGGGACAGGATCACCTCCTGTAGCCCAAGCTAGCCTACAATCTTCAGTCCTCTGCTCTCTGCTTCCCAAGTGCTGAGATATACTACACATGACCACACACAATTGAATGAGGAATTGCACAGTAGCATCACCACAGCAATGAACTTTTTCAGCTCCAGTAAACATCTTATAGAATTTCATAAATAGGATTGATCCATCCTTGGCCATGACATCCTTGTCTGGTGAATGGCTATTATATTCATTAACCTTGGGCTCTGTGGGAAAAGTTAGCTAGTGTATTTATTTGTGCTTTTAAAACACAGGAACAAATATAATGGTTCTTCTATAATGAAAGATTTTTGTAAGAAAACCATTTGGAGTTTTTAATATTTAGAAAACTATTTTGAAGAAGAAAAACTATAACAGAATTGAAACAACCACCACCAACAAAAAAAATCAATTAGTTTTATATCCTCTCCCAAACTCATGTGTCTTGTTGCCTGTATTTGATCCATACCCATCATATAGTATTACCTTTTCTTTGTCTCCTTCCTAAATGTTATTACAATATGCACACAGTTGTTTACATGTAAACATGAATACTTTCTAGGCTAGCATCTGCATATGGCAGAGAATGCATTTTTTTCTTTCTGAGTTTAGGTCACCTCAATTAATGTAATACAGTTAAGTTCATTCATTTTCATGTAAATATTATTTAATTTTACTGAACAGCATAATACTCCATTTTGTATATTTCCCACATTTTCATTACCACATTATAATCAATAAAAATATAATTAATAAAAAAAGTAGAAGACCCTAAACAAAGCTTCCTGACTCCAGAATGGCCATTCTAACTATACAGAAGTTCACTGAAATGCAGAATTTGGGCAAGTGTTTGTTTGTATGGCAACTTTTATCTGTGTGATGTTTTTATTTGCTAATTCAGTACAATGAAATTGTAAATTCAAAAAATAAATTGGCCATGGTATTCCACACCTTTAATGTCAGCACCCAGGAGGCACAGGCAGGTGGATCTCTTTGGGTTCCAGGCCTGCTAGGGATACACAGTGAGACCCTGTCTCAATAATAGTATTAAGAAATACATTTATTAAAATAAAAATTTAAAATATGTACTTTTCCACCAGAATATTGTGTATATTACAGTCCTCATAACTTGTAGTATTACTCATTCTTACTAAGGGCATCCTATTTTACTTTTTCCACTTACTCCTTTTGCTCATACAGACTCAATTCCTATTGACCACTCTGGTTGACTGCCAGGTTATGCTACCTTCAGTGAAGGAAGAGATGCTGGTCCATTTACCAATTTCACAAGCAGGTGACTGTGTTAAATTAATCCTCAGAAGCTTTCTTTTTTTATTATTTTTCCTTTATTTTAGTTTCTGTGTATGAATGTTTTTCTTGCATGTACATCTGTGTACCTCATATAAGCAGTGCCTGAGGAGGACAGAAAAGAATGACGGATCCCCTAGAACTAGAGTTACAGTTGTGAGCTGCCCTGGGGTGCTAGCAACCAAATCCTGGTCCTGTGGAAGAGCAGCTTCTTAACTGAACCATCTTTCCAACATTCATCAGCTAACTTTCAAGGAAAAAAAACAGTAGCGAGAAAAATGATTTTCAATATGTGTGTGTGTGTGGGGGGGTGTAGTTTCAAATCAGATCTAAGACTTTGCTCCATACCCGCAATTGCTATTGAAAATGATATCATGCTTGTTTGAGTTGTTTTTTTCCCCATAGCCTTAATTAAAAGTTTTAAGATACATTTTATTAAGGACCAGAACAGTCTGTTCACTATTCATTCCCATTACAATTATCACAGAAATTTGGGATTTAAAAAAAAGCAGTGCTATCTATTTCATCTGGTCATAGCACAAGACTATTGTAGTGAAAGTTCTAGAATACTTGATTAAGGTATCCTCTTATCAAGGATCTCAGAAAATTTATCAGTGTTTTTTTTTTCTATTTCCTTATGAATTTTTTCTGAAAACACATTTTACTATCAAAGGACATTCTGATTGATGCTTAACCTAAATTTCCTTTTCTTTATCCTAACTTTATCCCTTGAAACTTTTCATGTCTCCAGCCAAAATTCCTCTTTACCCTTGGTGTTTAGCCCCTTGAGCTATTTGTAGATTTGTATCAGG